TATCTAAGCCTCAAATCAAGCTATTGCTAAAGCAAAGGGATGCATCATTCCCATAATCTTTTTCTGCTTCAAGGTAGCAGGAAGGGGAACGGCTCCTCTGTGTTGTTCCTCGGTGACAGAAAGCCACAGAGTCATCACTGTTGCATCACCTAAAGCAAAGTGTGAATTGGTGGAGACAGTTTTACAATGGTGAACATTAGTGAAGCCATTACAGATTTTGTAAAGTATCTCTTGGTTATTGGTAGAGACATGATTCGTTGCACCATTTGTGCACCTGGCTTATGGTTCTGCACACTTTGGTGTCTAATTGGGTGTTACCCATATGAGACGTCATCCATGTCAAGAGAATCGATGGTTTCCAGAATAATTTTGAGTTTTTCTTACCTCTGTTAAGGTTTTTCCAAGTACTTCTAGAGCTACTCAAGATGTAAACAATTACTTCGAGTACTGCCACTTAATTCAACTCTGAAGCAGCTTTGTGACAGCAAAACCTTGCTGTGGCAAACCCCACCTACCACCTTTGCTGTAATCTCTCCAGCCACAGGGAAGGGAAGTCAAGACAGCAGAGGCCTTTTTGACTCGGGTAAACCAAGAAGGTTCAGGTGTGACTAGAGTAAGAAATATGTTCTAGATAGAGGTTGAAAGTATTTCACCCCAGCATTGGTTGCTTGGTGTAAATCTCAGAGGACATTCACTAGAAAAGTGGTTTCTGAAGACAGAACTGTTTTGAATTTGGCTGATTGGGAGTGCGGGGAGAAAGGAAGAAAAGACATGAAAATACAGCAGTAGGAAAAGAAAAGGGGTTGATGACAAAAATTCACCTTTCAGTCAGTGCTTGGAACAACTTAACTGACACATGGTTCAATCTCTCCAGGTTGAGTTGCCTTACTTCCAGCAGTGCTGCCTTTCCAGCTACAACCTGGGCACAGATTTCTTGAGACTCACGACCCACGAGTGCCATCAGGAAGCGCTGTCACAGAAATACAGCATCTCCTTTCAGCTGAAGCTGTACTTCATCCTTTGACCCACATGGGTGGCCACAAAAACCTAAGGAGGAGTGTAGGAGTTTGACCTGCAGAACTGATCAGCCAAAAAATCTAATGTCAGAATACACAGGTATATAGTAAATTGCCCATTTTCTTTGGATGTTTGACTAGTAAGGAAAAACATTAAATGGTCTTCTAGGATATTAGACATATGTATGAAGCCGTATGCTTCACTAGGCTGGTTTAAGGTATTTAGAAACTTGTTCTCTGTTAACCCAAGGAAATTGGAGAGGAAGATGTAAGGGCTTGCTTTTTTTTTTTTTTAAAATTGCTTCAAAAGACTAAGCTATAAAATGTCCACAGAGCAGTCACACTAGAAGACTTCACTATGCCTCTGCTTACTTTTTAGGTTTACCACTTAGTAAATAAAAAGCCAAACATACTCTCAATAACTTAAGGAAACAAACGAAGGGAAAGTGTATGAACATATTCAAGATTTCAAATGGGTCAAGCATTAAGCTGTAGAAGTAATTACCAAGTAGCTAAACTGGTTTGATTTATCAAAAAGTAGAACAGTTTTAATTTACTGTGGAAACATGAAATCAATAAAGATTCAGGCTTTTGAGTTTGCATCTTACTATGAAGATTATTCTTATACAAAATCAGCCCAGCATTTATCTTTAAAGTCCTCACTTTTGAAGAGATCAAAAGCTGCATCACTTTTCTATGTAGCACAGCTTTGAAAGTTTCTACAGCTTGAGAAGGCAGTGGTGGATGTGCAGGTCTCCAAAGACAAAAGCCTCATGTACTCATGCCCTGAAGTGCAAACATGCAGTTTAGTACGAACAAAACTCTACTTAGCAGCTTAAACCACACAGCAGTCATTTTTACCTCACTGCAAATTATTATTTGGCCTCACAGTTCACTGTATGTTACAAAACAACAATTATGCATATTTGTTTCCAGGTTACTTTTTCCAGAATCCATCAATTAAATAAAAGTAGCACTTTGAGAGGAGAAACGCACCATTGATTTGCTTCTCTTTTAATTTAAAAAAAAGCATTTGTGATGATGAATTTGAAGCAGATGTTAAAACAATTAGGCTTCAGAACCTGCAGTTCAGACTTCAGCCAAGCATGGCTTGCTTCTTTTTTCACAGAGGGGCTGTAGGTGTGCAAGTACTGCAGTAAAAATTAATATTTAACCCTTGCTGGGAAAACCAGCAGGTAGCTTGAGGTTGTTGTAGGGACTCTGATGTACCCTAAAGCTCTTTTGCATCTTTCACGAACTTGTCCTCATTTCCTACACTTGGAATATATATATATATATATATATTTATTTTTTTTAAATAAGCCTCAGAACAAAAAGCCTCCAGAAAAAAAATTAAATACATCCAGGAGCATTTAATACATTAAATGCTGTTTGCTCAGCTCCCTTTAAATCAGTCACACATACCAAACTTTGTCCCTCTTGCACTCTCTTTCACTGTTTCTCTCCCCACACAGTCAGCAGTACATTATTCCTGCAAACTAGGTTCTCTAGAAACACATCCCTAGCAACTAAGGCAACAGCATAGCTACCAACAGTCAGACATCAAAATACTCGAGGTTGAGTTTACATGTGCACACACACTAGACATAAGGCTAGTTACTCCAGCTGGTAGTATTGTTACATTTTATTTATTTTTTTTAAAAAATTAAGTCACAACTTTCTCTTCATGAAAAGTGAACTGGAATTTGTGCCCGAACTCTTACTCTGAACATATCAAAACAGAGCATAGTGAAAGTCAACCTTAGACTGAAACAAACACAAATAAAGATTTAAACTGCCATATCAAAAGCTAAGTTAAAATAGAATAAATAAAAAAAGACCAGTCAACAAGCATCAAGTTCTTCCTTCAAAGATCAAGAGGTTGTGAACAAAAGCCTGATCTCCATTACGTTTTCTTCAGTTAGTTAGAAAGAATATGAACTAAAATATTTCATCTAAGCAACTGCAGAAACTGAGCTAGAGGGATGAGACAGCCTTGAATTTCTCTCACAGACTTCTCATTCCTTTTTAATAAAATAGAAGTGATGAACATTGACCAGACGAATGCACAACTGAACTACTATGCATTAAAAAAAAATGTATTGTGGCAATTCAGTTACCTCAGAAAAATAGTTATCGGTATTGCAGAAATCTTAATTTCTCAAATCAAATTAAAATGACCCAGTACACTTTGAAACATGTGATCCCAGTGACTAGCCAGAGATCTAGGAATACACATTTCTATACCAAAAGCTATAAACATAAGCAGGAAAATACCTGAAACAATTAAAAGGCACTTTTAGCTGGCACATGTTTTTCTATATGCTGCAGAAAACTCAGTCAGATACAACATGGCACTGAATCTTCTACTGGTCCAAGCAGTATAACGGTACACACTGTTAAATACACAGACTTGACTGTATAAGTAGTCAATCTGCAATGCATAGCTAACATAGGAAGAAATCCACATTCTTTTTGGATGTAAACAGTAAGGTTTCTAGTAAAAATGTTTTCATTTTAGACATTATTATATGTTTAACATTATTGCATGCAACACTGTCTAAAAGTTTTACGGCACCTCAGTGTATCCTTAGGCAAGGAACAGTCACGATAAGACATTTGGAGAGAAATTCTCAAGTCATCAGGTCTAGTGCTGCACGCAAACATACTCAGAAACTGCACATCTGGACTGTGTGTCTGTATATAAAGGCAAAGATGTCTGTATATAAAGCCAGATGTCTGTATATAAAAGGTAACTTTATTCATATACCCGTAGTCCCCTGCATGAAGATCTGACCCTCAAGTTTTAAAAGGCACAGAAACTGTCACAAGGGCATGCCAAGTACAGCATTTAAACATGAGGCCTATTATTATTTTACCTGATTTCAAGAGATGGCTTTCAAAGGCAGCTAGATGATCCCTCTAGAAATCAAGAGCTGTTCCCATCATCATTTCAACATGGTTGTTAACTCTTGTTCTTTGCATTTCAGAGAAACTGCTTGCTGGAAACAATCTATTATCTTCACCCCTTTTTTAAATCCTTATTAAATAATCAAGCATCTCTAACAGGTGAAGTGAAAAGTATTATTAAACAGCTGGACGATCACATAATTATTTCTTCATTGAATCCTTTCTTGAACCAAAAGAGCAAGGTATTAGTGAAATGTGAATGCTACAGGCATCTGAACAGGAGCACAAATTGGTTTAGACTACTGAAATTCTTAAAAAAAAAAAAAAAAAAAAAAAAAAGGAAAAGGCAAAGAAAATATAGTCTTTGGTACAGGCTCACGCAGTGCTATCCAAGTATAACATCATCAGTTAGAAATTACAGAAAGCCCATAACTTTACTTCTGAAGAAGAGCCCCAGCTCAAGCGTTCACACTGACTTGCACACACGGTGCGCTTACAGGTGTTTCACTACACTGACACAGCTGCCAGCAGCTACACACGCTGAACTTCCAAGCAGCAAGTGGTGTAAGTGACTCTGTCCCCTCCTCTGCTCAGACATCAGCAGATTGCTTAGACACCTGTGCAGCCTGGAGCTGCCTTGAGGTGGTGACATAGCCTATGTCTTCCAAGAGTCACCAACCAACACTCAGGAACAAATGACTTGAGAGAGGAGGAGATACTGGACAAAACACTCTCCTCACTCTATTTAAGCTGGCAGTTAGGAATTAATTTTCCTGATGCTTTCATAATAAAAAGCAGGAGCGTACCTTTGTCACCTGTTTCACCACCAGAAGTGCATGCAGTCCTGCAGTGTCCCAACTGTTTTTTGAGTTTCCTAGATATTCACTCTGAAACTTAAAGCTATCAACAGCTGAAGTTTTGTTTTGTGTTAAAAAAAACAACCAAAAACACACACACAAAACAACATCAAAACACATTTAAAAATAAACACTCCTCTTCAGTTTTTATCCCCCAGACCCCTGTCCTTACAGGTCACCTGTATTTCCACAGGAAACTGCTATACCTGGCAAAAGATTACTCCACTAAACTGTCCTGTTCCTTATTTTCCAGCAAGGACATGCTTGTATCTCCATTATTCTTTTCAGTTGTATCTCCATTGTCCTCTGATTGCTCTGATTTCTGATGAGCAAATGTGTAAGTGTCATGGTCTGTTTCCATTAGAGGTGGAGGTTCCTCAGTGTTAGAAGAGCGCTTAATGTCTTTCCTGAAGGAGAATGGAGGTGGAGAAGGTGGCAAGCTACCAATGGGTCCATCAAAAGGCCGGTACACATCAACTTCTGGAGCAACAGAGCCATTGGATTCCTTCAGCAAGTGCCCATAGACCATAGCATCATCAATCACCGCATAGACATGAGACTCATTCTTTTTCCTCCCTTTTGTGAATAAGCCTTGTTTTCCAGGCATCTGGGTATTCACGTTAGCATTGTACACTCCCACCATGGGATTCTGGCTTTTCTTCTTCCTGTTGCGGAGTTGAAATTGTTAACAGGTCAGGAACAACACATGGCTGGTGCAACTCAATAATGGCAGCTTCTGTTTACCCACCCCAGGGTCAGGCAGCCCACCTGGATTGAAGGCTTTCCTTATAATTTTAGGAAAAACTACTCTTGAGTCTAGACATGTGTTTTTTTGGCGAAGCTGAAGATAACTTCACACTATTTGGTTACTGTTCTGCTGACCCTGAAGTTTGCAAAATTAACTCCAATGGCCTCCCAAATACAGGGGTCCAGCTGTACAGTGTATGGAGCCTCCCAACAGCCACAGAGACTAATAGGACCTAGAGGCCATTAGACCCTCACAAAACAAGGCTGAGCACTGCTGAAGACCAGTAAGATAGTGGGTCCTCTATGAAAGTAGAATGAACTTTTCTTGATTGCACTTTTTGGAGTGACTGTCCCAAAGGCAGGAAGCCCAAAGGCTGAACTGAAGATTTTGAAGCCTGTATTTGTAAAGCCTTTCCCACATGGCAGAGAAGTATGCTCATCACTGCTCTAGTCATCATATTGCACAAATTCATTCCAGCTCTACAGCTTCAGGACCCAATCACCCCACCAGCACTGAGCATACATGTATCAGAAGCCCCAAGCTATCAATAGCTTCAGACTTTGCTTGCGTGAGTTTGCTATGCATGTTTGCTTTGCACAACCTAGTTCTCTCCTCAAGGGCTTATCTCATAGAAAAATGCTCCCACTTGATGGACAAACTCCAGAAGTTGCTGGAGGTTGTGTAGATGAAAGACAGCTCTGAGTGAGTTTACAGCTTGTTTGAACAAAGCCTTGTCTCGAGTCACACGTGCAGCAGCCACATTCATTGTGATTTAATTTCACAGGAATCACTGACAAAGTCCAACCAGTATCTTCCAGTGCAGCCAGAAGACTGTGTTAAGGCCAAGGTAGGAAATGCAGTGGGGGTTGAAGTCAAGGCCAGGTTGGACGAGGCTTTCAGCAACCTGGTCTAGTGGAAAGTGTCCCTGCCATGGCAGAGGGGCTGGAAATACATGATCTTTAAGGCCCCTTCCAATCCTAACCATTCTGTGATTCTATGAAGTAATGCAACTCCAGAAATGATGCTGTACCCTTAAAATCAACCAATTTAGAGTAAAGCAGTATTCTTGGAGGCACACTACTTCAACTGCCAGCACATTTCCTACCTCAGGCTTCAGAACCTTGTTCAAGGGATCTATATCAACATGTGAAATGGAGGGCCCAGCAACTGTCCCAAAATGCCTTCATGAATTGGTAAGTTAAACATGGAGAATTATGAACTTACTTCTTCTTAACACAGCACACAGTCAGTCCAATAGCGATGAGAACTCCAGCCCCAGCCACCACAGCAAGTATCACTCCTAGATCTGCAAACAGACAAGGTACAAGGACCCTGAGTGAGAGAGAGAAAACATCCAGCTTTCTCCTAGAAGCTGGCTGGGTTTGAACCTCTTCAAGAGCCTCTAAGCATACCAGCTGCCTGCAGAGCAAGGGTTTCCAAGCCATGCTCACCACGGGGTAGCACAAGCCATTTTTGAGAGGTTGGAGGCCAAGCAATGACAAACCTCTGCTGCTAGCATGGAGCACAGTCAAAAAAACCTAACCACCCCACTTCCAAGAGTTCAATACAGCTCATGTGTGGCTAAACTCACCAACAAGATCTCATGTGCTTCTGGCAGGATAGGCAGGGAAGAGAAAAAAGTGCAGAGAGAGACAGGGAGAGATTCAACAAAGCAAAATAGTGACATTTCAACAACTTCCCCTCAATACCATCTGAAATACATGTGTTGTGTTGAGCTAGGGTGTTCCAAGAGTCAGAAAATTGATCAGGAAAGTCCACGTCAGCTAACAAAAATGCTGTGTGTTTTAAAAGAAGTACACATCACAAAAAAAGAAAAAAAAAGGAAAAATAACAGAAATTACTTTGGAAATTAATTTGACACTGCTTCAGCCTTAGCCTGTGTAGCAAATACTTTTACTGACAGCAGACTCCCACAGATGAAGAGGAAATGCAAATGTGAAGCAAATATACACAAGCAAAGCCTACCCTAAAAATGCCCACTTTTTAAAAAATAATTTGTATTTCAGGGAGATGAATGACAACAAGAATGCAGATTTTGCTGTTAGTAGTCAGGGCACTCTCCACTAAATGGCCAGACCTGCCCCAAGGCTCATGCAAACATCGAGACTAATTAACTGCTAACATGAAGACTATGGGGCTAAATATGTTTGCATAATCAAATCCCAAGTTGTTCACCAGGTCTACGACCTCAGGAGAGAAAAAAACATCACTTGATCTTATACCTTCCGGTTGTGATCTCCAATTCAAAAAGTTAAATAAATTTTAAAAAAATAAATAAATCAGTCTTACTGCCCCTGAGCCCTGCAATCCCCTGTCTCATAAAAAACCCCATCAAATCATATTAAAAACTCTCCTTCCTCCCCAGCCTCCAGAAGCACCTAACTGTAACTCTCAGAGGTTTTTGAGGAACAGGTATTTCTGAAGGCAGGGATCTCATAAAACCCACATCCAAAGTAGGCCAGCATCCATTACTGTTCCCCCAAAGGGAAAAAAGAAAAAAAGCAAGGAAACAAGCGGAAAGCAAACCACCACAACCTCACAGGACTCACCTAGCTGCTTGTCAGCAAAAGTCACCCAGAACTGCAAGGTCAGCTGCGTCTTATCCACAGGTTTACAGTTGGAGATGTTCACCCAGAAGTCATGATACATGTTTCGAGGCTTGGGCAGAAGCTCATCCTCACGGCGCACGGTTTCCTCTGCCCCCAGTGTCTCTTCCTTTATGTTGACATAGGCACGACCTGTCTCGCAAGCGATGCCCATGCGGTCCTTGGAGAACCCTAGGCGGGCAACTTGCTTGCTGGGCACGACGACGTACCAGGATATGGAGACATATGGAGGTAGACCATAGGGCCAGTTGGGGGTCTGCAAGTAAACTTTGGCTTTTGGATCTGGACTCACAGTGAAAATGCACTCATCTGTAGTAAAGGAAACGATTAAAGGAATGAAAACTTAGTTCTGATAGCTTAAATAAAAAAAAGTTTCTCTTTCAACATGTAAAATCCCTTGGTCTTTCTTCTCCATAACAAAAATCATCACTTATAACTGTGACTAGCAAATTTATAGTCACCTGCATCTCAGTACCAGCAATACAACTCATCTATCATCCCTTCCACATAAGTAACTATCCCAATTACCACAGATATACCTGTAGAATTTCCTACAAACAACTATCTGCCACAGAGAGTACAAAGTTCCTTCCTTCTTCCAGGAATAAACCACCTCATTGATTCAGGTAAAGATCAAACCTAGCAACAGCTCCAGGACTAGACTCTAAAGGATTGAACTCTTCTATTTATTCATATGTGCTTTAACAAATATATTTAGAGATCCAACACTGTAAACCAAAGTAGTGCAAACCACTACCTTACCTTTAATATATGGCACAAAAGACATTTTCAGATCCTGATGGTTTGACTCATTGAGGAATCCTTTACCAAATGTTTTTAAGGATATGGTGATATTATTCCTCATCTGAATCTTTTCAATGGATCCACCAGGACAGAATACACCAACATGAAACTCTGTCTCTGGGGTGGCACTAACAATGCTATAACTGTAGCTTGTGTTGCACCTCTGCTCTGGGACGTGTTGCTGAAGTTTCAAGGACGGAGATGTAATTTCTATGTTGATCAGATCTGGAGCCAAGAGCTTCCAAATAAACTTATGCAGTCGAATTGGCAATTGGGTAATAGCCTTGGGCACTGAAAGGGAATAGATCTTCCTCTGACACCACCGAAGATCAACACAGCCTGCAATCATGAAAACAAGTCTCAAGGGTTATATTTTTCTTGCAGAAGAAGTATCTAGGAAAAGCAAGTTTTCCAGTGTACCAGACTACACACACACAGAGAGTACTGTCAGTTTTGTGTTACAGACCCAGACAAGCATCTACCTGAGAAAACATCCTCTCTTAGTAACCTTTACCAAACATGTATCATTTATATTTAAAGAGCCTTCCTTAAAAGCATGCAGGACACCAAAGAAACCAACAGATTCAAACATTAAACATCCTCACTCGGGATGTTACTTTTTCTCTATCACTTGCTGACTGGGACACTTGCAGACTAGTCAAGGTCTAGATACATACTTTAAAACTCTTTCTCTACTGGTAGTTGAAAGCATTTGGGAAAATCTTACACTAAGTGTACATGCAAGCGGCACAAGAGGCATTCCTAGTGGACACCTTGGTCCCGCATTTTCATAAGATTTATGGCTCTCCTGCTGTGTTTCCATATTTTGTACTTTTCAGCAAGAGGATTATAGAATCATCATAGAATGGTTTGGGTTGGAAGGGACCTTCAAGATCATCTAGTTCCAACCCCCCTGCCATAAACAGGGACACCTTCCACTAGACCAGGTTGCTCTAAGTCTCATCCAACCTGGCCTTTAACGCTTCCGGGGAGAGGGCATCCACAACTTCCTTGGGCAACCTGTTAATTCTTAGATTCTTAGGTGCCTGCTGTTCTTTCCCTTCTAGGAACAGCTACACAGTTTATATTTTTAAAGGTAGGATGACAAAGTGAACAAGGTTGTCTCCAGACCCCACCTCCCCGCCAGCCAAAGCCTGGTTTCCAACCTCACTCTATTTAAGACCCAAAGGAGAGAGGAGGGATCCCTGGGTAAAAGCATGCAAAAACATTCCCTAGGAAACAATGTTAAGCCACTTCTGTGTCATACTTATGCCTTTTTCAGCTGTGATCCTCAGACGGGACAAGTCCTTGCACAGAAAGGAGATCTTGTAGATGGCACCAGACACTAAAGTCAAGACACGGTCGCAGGTGCGAGGATCCTTACAGATCAGGCATATCGGTTCAGACATGAGCGGGATGCGGCTGGGCCACCCTTCAAAGTGTATTGTCACAGTCATATTCCACTCTTTGCTCAGGTCAACCAAATGGGTGACATCTGCAATGAAAAACATCCCAGAACAATTAATGGCAGGAAGTATGGTGTGAAGGAGAACTTCATCTCTTCTCACACCATTAGCTGAGCAGCTGTAACAGCTATTTGTATATTAGCTAAGAAAACATTATCTACTTCTTTCCATCAGTGTAATACAAACTCAATCAATATTGTATCACTCTTCTAATTTAGAGGTTTGAGACTTTCCACACGCAAGCCCCATTTCCCTACCACTTTCCAGCTGTAACAGGGTAACACGTATGCTAGCGCCTTTTGAACAGATTAGGCTATAATGTAAGGAGCTCAGCCAACTATCACAGAATCACAGAATGCTCAGGGTTGGAAGGGACCTCAGGAGATCATCTAGTCCAACCACCCTGCTAAAACTATGTTAGATTTGTTTCCCCTAAGAGGTTTCTCTTATTTCTTTTAAAGTCAACTCTACTGATCACACAACAGTTGATCAGAAAAAGGTTCTTCATTCTCAAATTTCTTATTTATTGCTACATTTTCATCTCATCTAATTTTTTTGTTTGTTTAGGTTTTTTGAAGCCAAGCTGAAGAAAATTGTCCAAAGTCAGTAATTAAGCACACCTGGTTGTCTGGAGTCAGTTAAAGATTAGGATAATTTAAATGCAAGTACCAATATGGTTCAAAAGGGAAAAAATTGCCAAGTATTGTACTTCAGCAGAAGTTATGAATGTTACTGGAGCCTTCAAAGATGCTTCCTAAAATTTGTGTTTGGCAGTTGAACACATACAGAGATGTCAAAAATTATCTAAGTCTGTCACCATGACAGTGGGAAGGCTGAGGATCACCCCTTGCTACACCACTGGGTTTCCCTCAACGGCATGACTGAGCTACCACACTGCCCTTACACTTAACTGCTCAAAAGCGTTCCTCCAGAAATATTTTCTGACTAGCTGTAAAAAGCAAACCTGAGAGCTGTCAGAGTTAACCCTGAAAAGTGAAGAGCACCTTCCCCTTCCTCAATACTTCTCTTGCAGTCCGTCCCTTTCCCCATACCGCATCACACACCAGCTATAACACCCTCCGAGCTCGCTGGACCTGTGGTGTCCGGGTGCATACAGTGACCATTGTCCCTGGCATCCCCTCTCAAACAGTGAGACTCAACTCAAAGATCTGCTTAAGGAGGCAAGTACTGAGGCCAAAACTGTTTAACATTTTCACTAGTGAGAAAAACAATGGGACAGAGTGTACCCCCAGCAAGTTTGTAAGAGTGGGGCTGGAAAGCAGCCTTGCAGAAAGACCTGGGGGTCCTGCTGGACACCAATATGAGCCAGCAATGTGCCACTGTGGTAAAGACAGCCAACAGCTTCCTAAGCTATGCTAGAAAGAATCAACAGCAGGTTGAACGAGGAAAGTCTCCCCCTCTGCTAAAGCACTAGTGAGTGCAACTGCTGGGTCAAGTTCTGGGCTCCCCAGTACAAGACAGACATGGGGGTACTGGAGTCAGGCCAAAGAGCCACAAAGGTGCTTAAGGTGCTCATATGATCTGATATGCTGCTCATATCAGATCATATGAGAAGAGACTGAGAGATTTAGGACTGTTTGGCTGAAGAAGGTGGCTCAGGGGCATGCATACACATGTCTGCAAACAATATGGTGCCAGACTCTTCTCAGTGGTGTCCAGTGATAGGGCAAGAGGCACAAAGTGAAATACAGGAAATTCTGCTTAAAAAACAACAAAAAACCAAACCAAAACAAAAAAACCCCAAGTCTGGTCAAACATTGGAACAGGTTACCCACAGAAGTTGTGAAGTCTTTGTAGATACTCAAAACCCAGCTGGACACAGTCCTAGGAAACCCATTCTATCTGACTCTGCTTGAGCAGGTGGTTGGACTAGAAGATTTCCAGAAGTCTCTGCCAACCTCAGCCATTCTGTGAGTCTGTGATATCCTAGATG